CCTATGTGGAGTGGCTTGGAAGGAAGCCAAAGGTGGATATGCTTCGGGTGTTCGGGTGCATGTGCATGGCGCTCGTGCCTAAGCATCTTCGGCACAACAAGCTTGGTGCCAAGGTGGTGTGGGCCGTGCACTTGGGCATGGCTCAAAACAGCAAGGGATGGCTTCTTTGGGACCCATTCACCAAGAAGTTCTTGGTGAGCAGGGACTGCAAGTTCATGGAGAACTTCATGTACAAGGATTGGAAGGCGGAGAATGAGGCAAAGATAGGCGTGCGGTTTGGGGAGGTGAAGAGTTCCGGTTTGGAGCATGTGGAGCTGCCTTTGGAGCTGAGTAGTGGCAGCACCACCACAAGGCAATCTTCCCTTGTGAATGGGGGAGAGGAGGCCAATGATGCAGAGGAAGAAGAGGAGGAGGTGTAGCAAGTGAGCGAGCGTGCACCGTCACTCCCTTCCCGCACTACGAGTGCTCCACGGATTCGAGCCACACCGCAGCAACGCCAAGGCCTTCAGGTCCCTGCAGCTGAGGAGGAAGGAAGGGGGAAGAGGAGAGTTCAACCCCCTAATAGGCTGACCTATGATGCACCGGGAAAGCAGGGCAAGACAGCCCTGGCCGGAGCAGCAATGATGGTCGGAGACGACGAGGAGAGTGACTACGAGGAGTGTGTGTTCGCGTTCTTCTCTCCGGTGGAGATGCCGGGAGAACCAGCAACTCTCAAGGAGGCCCTGGAGAGTGGTGATGCTGAGGAGTGGAAGAAGGCCATGGAGAGTGAACTGAAGAGCATCGAGGAGAACGACACGTTTGAGTTGGTGGAGCTACCGGAGGGGCGTAAGGCGATTACGTCCAAGTGGCTCTTCAAAATCAAGTCGGATGCCGACGGCAAGATCGAGCGCTACAAGTCTAGGCTTGTAGCCAAGGGGTACCAGCAGAAGGAGAAGATGGACTTCAAGGAGCTGTTTGCTCCTGTGGTGAAGCCGACGACGCTGCGAACCCTATTCGTGGGAGCCGCCATCAAAGGATGGGTAGTAAAACAAATGGACATCGTAACGGCATTCCTCAATGGAATCCTTGAGGAGGAGATTTTTATGGCGCAGCCAGAGGGGTTTGACGATGGCAGCGGCAGAGTTTGGAAGCTGAAGAAGGCCCTCTATGGGCTGAAGCAGGCCCCTAGGCAATGGTACATGAAGCTGCGCGAAGTGTTGGAGGGGATCGGTTTCACTCCCTCAACGGCCGATCACTCCTTGTTCATGCTTGGCGAGGGGGAGCAGAGGAGCTTCATGGTGGTGTACGAGGACGACATCCTGATCTTCTTCCCCTCCTCTGACCTTGTGAAGGAGGTGATGCTGAAACTTCAAGACAAGTTCAAGTGCAAGTCCCTTGGGGACGTCAACTTCTACCTCGGGCTCCACATCGAACGTGACGTGGAGAAGCGGTGCATGCGGGTGCACCAACGGAAGTACCTGGAGGCGTTGGCTGCAAACTTTGGGCAGAGTGAAGGTCATGTGGCTACAGCCTTTCCCTCTGGGTTCAAGTGTGTGAAGGGACCAGAGGAGGAGAGCGTGGGTGAAGAGGAGAGGCGCCGATTTCACTCGTTGGTGGGCAGCCTCATGTATGCGGCGGTCAACACACGACCGGATGTCGCGTTTGCTACCGGGCAGCTGGCAAGGGTGGTTCAATGCCCTAATGAGGAGCAAGTAGCAGCAGGAATGAGGGTGGCCAAGTACCTTGGCCAAACACCAACCGTTGGGCTGCAATACTCGGCGGCAGCGCAAAGGCGCCAAAAGGGCGCGGATGGTGTGGAACCCGGGCGTTTGTTCCTCACCGCCTACTCGGATGCTTCATATGCATCGGAACCAGAGGACATGACAAGTGTGGGAGGCTTCATCTGCTGTGTTGGTGGAGGTCCTACTGCTTGGGAAAGCAAGAAGCAGGTTGACCAAGCATTGAGCTCGGTGGAGTCCGAGTACATGGCACTCTTCCGTGCCGTACGGGAGATTGTGTGGCAGCGACGTTTGTTGGCTGAATTGGGGGAGGAGCAGCAAGGACCTACTCCTCTCTATTGTGACAGCCAGGGAGCCATTTCTCTAGCCAAGAACCCTGTGTTGCACGGCCTTACAAGCACATGAGGGTGAAGTGGCATTGGACGAGGAGCATGGTGGCCGCGGGTGAAGTTGAACTGCGCTACGTAAAGACGACGGGGCAGCCAGCTGACATGATGACCAAGAGGCTGGTGGAGCAGCAGCACTGGAAGTGTTGCAAGCTGGCTGGGATGGCTCTGAACTGAGAGAGCAAGATCCTAAGGCCAACAATCCGAGGGGGAGTTTGTTGGTGCAACCCTACGGTTTGCACTCGGCTTGTTGTCCGTGTGCATGTGCGTGCATGCGTGTGTGCATGGAGTGGTATGAGTGCATGAAATAAATATATATATTTCATGCTTATAATGGTGTGTGAATGATGGGTCATGATGTCGAGTGTGTGTGTCAAGTCAATAGCGAGTTATCGCTAGTCGCGTGTAACGCGGCCATTTTGAGTGTCCCGCGCGGTTTCTATTTTGTCGTGCGCGGTTTCTATTTTGTCGCTTGTCAAACGTTCGGCGTGTCGCAGGTGTGTGCAGCAGACCCATCAAGAACTCAGTGATGAGTTTGTGATGAAGAACCCGAGCCTTGGTTTCAAGCTTCAAGTGATTTCGAAGCTCGCCAAAAGAGTACACCTCAAGATTTTGAAGATAGTTACATTAGAATGTATAGTGTAACATTTCACTTGGTGTAGGCCCTAGTGAAGGGTAGTTTCGAGACCCTTCGTGGTTGGGGACAGTATGGCACTGTTCCACATCACTGTACCTCGGCTCTTGGGGTTTGTAGGAGCTGGGAGTCATTCCCAACTCGTAACTCTTGCTAACTCTTCCTATTGTGTGTTCTAAGACTATGTTGCTGCCATAGTGCCGTTCCTTCAAACCGAAGCTGTGTCGTCAATACTTGGTGAAATCGTGCGATATAAATTGCCTATTGTAGGCAACGTTAAGGCGCTCCAGATCCAAGTTGAATGAAGTCATTTGGAGTTGTGAGCAGATCGCTATGAACGTTTAAAGCCGCTGTGCAGAAATCCGACTGTGCACTCTATCTTTCGTTTTAGGCGCATTGGAGCCTACTGTGACTATAACATTTACTGCTCTGTACCATGTCAAAATAGTAGGCTAGTTAGGTGCCATGGGGTTTGGGAAGTGAGAGGGAGTTGGCCAACAAAGGAGGGTTTGACTATAGAGAGAGATACAAGATATAGGGCAAGGGAAGGTGGCCAAGGGGGGTATACCACCAACAATAGAAGAGATACTACACTAGCTAGGCTAATTTTAAGTTAATACAATTTCGGGCGAATCTGTAATGTCAGATCTAGTTTGCTGTTATTGGTCGAAATAGTTGTGCTCTTACACAGCGCCAGTCACATCGCGAGTCACAACGCCAGTCACATCGCCAGTCACATCGCAAGTCACAGCGCCAATCACAGCGCCAGTCACAGTCACCCTTGCGACACCAACAGCAGATTCGACTTTGCTCCGTATCAGCACTTTCGATTCGCTACGTCAAGGCAGATTTTGCCTGAAATCCCCGTAGACAGTCAGATTTCGAGGAGATGTTGCGATTATGCAGAGTGGGACTTCTTTGCCCGGTAAAGAAAGTGCGTTACTACGACTCTGATTTTCAATTCTCGGCCCTGAACATTCAGAGTTCACTACTTCTCAACCCTGAGCAACTAGGGTGTTGTTTTTCTGGAAAATGTGCATTCTGCGTAATCTTTTTTTTTTTTTTTTAGGTTGAATTCAGGGTACCTAAATTTGAAACGTCAGCCCTGGGTAGACATCCGTTAGCTGGGATGTCATGAGCATCTCACGTCAGTTAAGTTCGGCCTACACATTCGGTCCGAACCATTTCCAAGTCGCCTCCTCACCAATCGCCACCTTTACAAGCCTAGCTTGCTTCGAGGTCCTCGCCAGGCCTCTGGTTATGATTTGAGCCAATCTTTCTCGTAAGGCCAATGCTCCGTCTTCACTCTTTCTGAAATGGTACCTGGCAGAAACACTCTTTCCAAGCAGGGCGCATATGAAAGTTACAATTTATAAATATCTGCTACACTTACAGTGTTTCGTGTTGCAGTGAGTTTAGTAAACTTGATGCTAAGGATGCAGGTTCGGTTCCCGATCTAGGTGAATTCTACAGTGGAATGCCGTGGTATTGTGTTTTACGCGTGAGTTCTGACATCCCTGTTAGAGCATCAGTATTCTTTTGCAAGTAGGGGTTTCAAAAACCCTAGGAATTTGAAAAACTGCGCGATTACAACCCCAACCCCCCGCTTGACAGGCGAAGCGAGTCCCCAAACGCCTCACGTCCGGCTCCCCGCACTCACAGTTCAAAACCTAAGGAATTGCAAAAGGAGACAGAAACTGCAGTAGTGAGAGGATAGCCCACACGATGCTACTTCGTTAGGTTATTCCCCGTAGACTTGGCAACGGTCTAACCTAACCGCTGGATTGAGTGACAAATTTTGTTAATGAACCGCGAAACAATGTTCAAGCGCATGCACGGACAAATTGCCCATTCGTTCGCACTCGTTTAGGCCACGCCACCTTAGACAAGGCCGCCCCACGCCTCATCTCGCTGCCTCACCGCGAATGCATTAGCGCCAGCGCCTCCGCTCCCTTCCTAGTCTCGTTTAGCCTCGACGAGCTAGCATCTGCCATCCCATCCCGTCCTCCCCTCCTAGCTCGCCGTCCGCCGTTCGCCGCGCGCGGTGAGCCGCTGCTTCCGGCTCGCCGCTCGCGTACCCTCCCTTTCAGGGCCGCCGTCCGTCGTTCGCCTTTCGCCGGACGACGTCCGGAGTGAGTCTCCCCTCGCCGAACCACGCTGCCTCGTTCGGTTCCCCCCCTGCACGCCCTCATTCCAGAGCACTGAAATCTTCTTTCTGCAACCTCATTTCCGCCCGAAATCTCCTTTCCACAACCTCTCGCCTTACCCATTCCTGCTCCTATCGCCTCCCGGTTCGAATTCTCCTTTCCCCTCTCCCCGCGCTCTCCTCTCGCTTTCCCCGCGCGGCCTCCTCACGCCTCCCCGCGCGCTCGACTCTCGCCTCCACGCGCGGCCTCCTCTCGCCTCCCCGCGCCTGCTCCTCTCGCCTCCCCGCGCCTTCTCCTCTCGCCTCCCCGCCTCTCGCCTTCCCGCGCATGCGCATCTAGCCTGCATCGTCGGCTTCACCCTGCCTCCCCTCACTGCCTCTCCGCATCTCCAACAACCTCCTTTCGCGAGCTGCACTCGAATAAGGCCCTCGGCCCTCTCTCACTCTCTTGCAACGGCTGTGCTTCCGCATCCCCGCTGCACGCCCTCAAACCCCCCCCCCCCCCCGAACGCCCTCACTTCCCCACATGTACGCTCTCGTTTTCTCTCCCTGCTTGCCCTCGTTTCCCCACCTTGCACGCCCTCATTTTCCGCATTATACGCCTTATTTTCCCCCTTGCACGATCGCATTTCCCCGCTTGCTTGCCCTCAATTCTCCCCTGCTTGCCCTCATTTGCCAACCCTTCCCTTCCCTCTCCGTACCACCCTGTCCCTCCTCCTCCCGCCATGCCTTTTCCTCCCCTCGCCATTCCTTCTCCTTCTCCCACCATGCCTTCTCCTCCTCCCACCATGCCTTCTCCTCCTCCTGCCACCCCCTCTCCTCCTCCCGCCATGCCTTTTCCTCCTCCCGCCACCCCCTCTCCTCCTCCCGCCACCCCCTCTCCTCCCCTCGCCACGCCTTCTCCTCCTCCCACCATGCCTTCTCCTCCTCCCGCCACGCCTTCTCCTCCTCCCACCATGCCTTCTCCTCCTCCCGCCATGCCTTCTCCTCCTCCTGCCACCCCCTCTCCTCCTCCCACTGTCGGAATCCTCCTCTCTCCTCCTCCTCCCTGCCCTGTCCTCTCTCGTCCCACCCTCTCTGCTTGCTTGTGTCCTACGATGTGCCTCATCTCTGCTTGTCATTTCTCTCCTCGCCCTCCTTTCTGGGTGCCCCTTGGTACCCTCTTACCCACTTGAGCCTTGCCCCGGCCCTTGTCCTTCGCCCCACTCCTTCCTTGCTGTTGTTCCTTCACCCCACTTTCGTTTTGCCCTCGGCTTTGTTCTCATCATTTTTAGCCCCTTCCTGCCCCCTCCCGTGACGCATTGCTGCCACCCTCGCCCGCGTCATGGGACCTGAGGGGCTTCCCTTGTCCTTCTCCGTCCGAATCCTCGCCACATTAGTCACATGGTCCGCCACTCGCTTACCCTTCCGGTCCTCCAGCACAATCACCCCTGACGGCTTAACTTCCTTCACTGTCCATCGCTGCTGCGATAACCCCACATCCAGTGCATGTTGTCGCTGTCTCCTCAGGTACACTTCCTCCCCCTCCTGCACCCCTGCTCCCCCCTTCTTCCCGGCCCTCTCCTGCCGCTGCTTATTCCTCTCAATGTCCCGCAGCTGCGCCACATGGAGATTCTCCATGGCAGCTGGCAGCAGGCGCCGCAGGTATGCTGCCCGCGCGTCCGCCACTGCCACCCACTCCTCCACTGACCCCGTGGTCACCACATCCAAAAGAAGCCTCGGAGCGCCCATTGGCATCACCGGTTCCTTGCCAAATAGCAAATAATACGGCGACACGTCCTTGAGCGCCGCTTGCTTACTGAACCGGTATCCCGCCATCACCCAGCAGAGCTTCCTGTCCCAATCCCTCTTGTGCTCTTCCCCGTACGCCCTCAGTCCTTTCTTCACTGTCTGCACCAGCCTCTCCGTCAACCCGTCGCTCTGTGGATGGTACTGCGACGTGTTGCAGTGCCTGATTCCTGTCGCCTTGAGCAACTCATCGAATGCTCCCTTAAACTCTGTACCCTGGTCTGTCAGCACCTCCCCACATGCCCCCAGCCGTGTAACCACCATCTCCTCGAACGCCTCTGCCATTGCTTCTGCCGTCTTGTGCACCAGCGGCTTGGCTTCTGCCCACTTACTCACGTGTTCCACCATCAGTAATATGTACCGTCTCCCCTTTGTTGTGACTGGAAGCTCCCCTGCGATATCCAGCGACCACCTGTAGCCCAGGCTCACCACTGGTAACGGCTGCAGCTCTACCCTTTCCCGCTCTAGCACTGCCCGGTTCCTGCAGCATGCCTCGCATTTCCACACCCACTCCTTGACCTGCCTGCGCATCCCCGCCCACCACCATCCTGTCTGCACCAACTGTTGCGTTCTCAGTGGCCCGTAGTGCCCCAGCTTCTCGTGAACCTCTCGGATGATGCCCTCCCTTTCACCCGGGGCGGGCACGTGCTTCCAACCTTCCCCGGTCCTCAGCTGTACCTGCCCCTTGAACCAGCGGTAGTACTCGCCCCGCGCTCTCACTCTCGCCGTAACTGCCCCCTCCTCTGTGGTTGCCCCCTGAATCCATGCCAAGGCTGCTATGTCTCCCCATATGTCTGCTGGTCCACCCCGCACTTCTCCCCACTGCCTCCCTCGGTCTGCTTCCTTTGCCATCGCCATCAGGCACGCGGAGGGCTGCACCGCCGGCGGGTTCCTCGACAGCCCTTCTACGTGCTGCATGGTTTTCCCGGGCCGATGCTTGATCTCGAAGTCGTATTCTTGGAGCTTCATCGCCCACCGTGCGTTTCTGCCCGTCAGGTCCGGTGTCTGCATGAGCCACAGCAGTGGCTGGTGAGCTGTTACCAGCGTGAATTTCCTTCCTTGCAAATATACTCGAAAATGTTTCACTGCCCACACCACTGCTAACCCCTCTCCTTCATACGACGAGTAGTTGGCCTCTGCCGCGTTGCAGCTGCGGCTTGCAAATGCTACCACCTTCTCCACCTCCCCCTTCATTTGTGCGAGGACTGCGCCCATGCCCGCGCTGCTCCAATAGGGCAGATCGGCTCCAGTAGAGCACGTAGGGCAGATCGGCTCTGGGCAGTTCCAGCACTGCTCCATTGTTTACTGCTCCCATGAGGTCCTGCACGGCTCTTTCTTGCTCTGGCCCCCACTCCCACTTGCAGTCTTCCCTAAGCAGTCGATTCAGTGCTAGAGCTCGGCTACTGAAATTCGGCACGAACTTCCTGTAGTAATTGAGGAAGCCTAGCAGCTCACGCAATGTGCTCTTGTCTTTCGGTGTCGACACTCGATCCAGCACCTCGACCTTCGCCTTTTGGATGCCGATCCTTCCCCCTTCCACTTTGAACCCTAGATATGTCACCGTCGTCTGTCCGAACTTGCATTTCCCCGGATGGCAGGTCATCCCTGCGTTCTGTATCGCGCTTAGGACCGCCTCCACGTCCTTCACATGCGAGCCACTATCCGTGCTGAACACGATCACGTCGTCGATATAGCAGGCAGCGTTCGGCACGTTCCGAAAGATCTGGTCCATGATTCGCTGGAAATCTGGTGAGGCGGACTTCAGGCCAAATGGCAAGGTGTACCACTCATACTGCACGTCTGGCCCGTGAAAGGCCGTCTTCTTCCGGTCCGCTTCCATTATGGGGATTTGGTTAAACCCTTGCCGCAGATCCAAGGTGGAGAACACCAGTGCCGTCGCTAGCTTGTCAAACAGCTCGTCCAGTGTTGGTGTCTGATACCGCTTCATCACCGTGACCTTATTCAGCCCGCGATAGTCTCCGCGCATCCGTTTCGATAGCACCTGGCATGTGAGATCTGTCCTGGCTGCCACCACCGTCGCCGCTGCGTATTCAGAGTTTGACTTCCGTATGAACCCCGCTTCCACCCCGCTTCCATCAGCTCTTGGCACTTCTCTGTGTAGATCTGCACTTCTTCCGCCGTCATTCTCCACCGCCACTGGTATACCGGTATCTCCGTGGTCAGCTCTATGCTGACTTCTGCCATGTTGCGCCTGCCCACCTCCTTCAGTGTGTAGGCAAAAGCCGGCCGATGCTTCGCCAGCACCTTCCTTAGTTCCGCCGCGTCTTCCTCCATAACGCCGTCTCCTATTTCCCACTGCTGCTCCGCTGCCGCTGTTGGTGGTGGTCCCTTCTCTTCTGCCCCCTGCGCGGACCGTCCTGCCATAGCCAGCTCTGCCTGCCCCCCACTCTCTTTTCCTTCCTCGTTCTCTCCCTCAGTCTTGATCTCCCACCCTTCCTCCTTCGTTACCGCCATTAATGCAAACTCCCTGGATCCGAATTCTCGCTCGTAACTCTCTCTTCTTCGCTGCCTCTCGATGGCTTCCTCGACCCAGCTCAGATCCTCCTGCTTCTTGTCCACGGCTGCTTCTTCCCTGTCTGTTGGGAGCCAGATCTGGGTCTGTTCTGCGTACAAGGCCGGTACCTCGTCCCCCTCTTTCCACAGGTACACCCATCTCCTCTCCAGCGGATGCCCCAACTGGTGTTGGACCATGTCGTTCTCTTGTATCTCCCCGCATGGCCCTGGCCAGTGCCTCCTTAGCTGCCGATCGCTCCGTGGGGGGTTGCACCGCTGCTGCCTTATCCCGCTTTTGCTCCCATCTCAGCTGCGAGTGATACATCCGAATCATCGCCATGAGCCATTGCATGACGTTCAAGTCCATGGCTCTCCCCAAAGCACGCCTCCTCTCGGTCTCGGTCACCTCTGGATGTGCGGTCGCCTCTTCCATGAAGCCCATTGCTAGCTCGCGCTCCAGCGCTGTAGGCTCTTGCCATTCCCCCGCCGTGCAGACGTATACTAGCCCCGGCCCCGGATCTTCGCCGTGCATCTTGAACGCCGCTGCTCCCTCGTACAACACGAACGTCGGCCAGGCCTATCGCGGCTTCCCCACTTCATTGCATGCGAACTGCGTCGGGTGGTCTGGCAACGACACTGGTCGTTTCATCAGCGACAGCCGATATTGCAGTGCCGCATCCGTCACTCCATTCGTCCAGTAGCGGCGCACTCGGTGTGTCCTGCTGCCCGTCTGCGCCCCATCCACCACGACCCCCGGCCCTAGCACTCCTATCACTTCTTCGTGCGCCACCTGGATCTGTTCCCTCACATCCCCGTCCATGTCCACGTTCTCCACGATGTAGAGAACATCTCCTTGCACGCGCTTGATTAGACGCAGCACTCGTACTAGCTCTCTGAAGAGGCCGCTTCTCTCATCCCTCACACCTCAGCCCGTTCCTTCCCGCGAATATCCTTGACATTCCCAGCCCGCGACGACCACGTCGATCTTTCCCCATTCTCGTATGGTGTCTTCGGTGATCAAACGGATGTCGCAGGCCTGGCTGCTCACGCTGTGCTCCAGCGCTACTGTCGTTAGCTGGTGCGGGTACCTCTTCTGACGTTGCTCAGCATGATACCACGCCATTTTCACAGACTCACTATCGGATTCCACCAATATCCATTTCTCTACGTAGGCCCCTGCCTTCAGCAGTGCCGCTAACCCAGTGCCGATGCCTCCAAAGAGCTCCAGCACTACCGTAGGCCCCAACAGCTTTTTAGTGTCCGTGCAATGCAGCTTCAGGTCCTCCTCGTCTTTGTTCTCTCTTACCGCCGCTGTTGGCATTCTCGCAACCTGCTGCCACGAGGGGACTCCCAACTCTTCCCGCAGCTCGGCTTCGGTGCACTGGTACGCCTCTCTGGGTTCTCTCCGCACAAAGCGCACCGGCAGCGTGCCGATGGGGCCATTGTCCTCCCAGTAGTGCACCCGATATTGTACCTTCTCCTCCCACATGCAGATTGTCGAGCCGATACCGAAGAGGTACTCCACTCCTACGAGCAAGTCGAAGTCCAAGGATTCCGATACTCCGTAGTGCATCCTCAACGTGCATTCTTCCGGTGTCCTCGGATTCAGCACCAAGGCCATGGACTGCCGAGTTTTCGGCATCCACTTCGCCTCCCCTCCGTCCGCCGTCATGAGTAAGTAACCTTCAGGTATCAACCGCTCGGCCTTGCCCAGCTGGAGCTTTTCCGCTAGTTGCTTGCCAATCAGCACGTGCGCTGCTCCTGTGTCCACGATAGCCCTCTGAGCTCGCAGTCCCCCAATCGTGA